AAAACAGTAGAAAAATATGTGTCCTTGGGTTTGATGAAGAGTTTTTAAATACAGCACCAAAAACACAATCCATGAAAGAAAAACTAAGTTGAACTTTATCAAAAATTAAAATGCCTGCTCTGCAAAAAACACTGCTAAAAACAAATGAAAATATAAAGCTTAGACTGGGAGAATATATTTGCAAAGCACATATCTATCTGACAAGAATGTGTATCTAAAATATACGAAAAAATTTTAATACAACAGTAAGTAAAACAATGAAAAAATGGGCAAAAGATCTAAATAGACACCTCACCAAAGAAGATACCCAGATGGCAAATAAATATATGACATCATCTGTCATTGAAGAATTAAAAATAAAACAGTGAGCTGTCACTATACACCTACTATAAAGTCTAAAATACAAAATCTGACAATGCCAAATGCTGACAAGGCTGTGGAGCAAGAGAAACTCATTAATTGCTGGTAGAAATGCAAAATGGTTCAGTCACTTAGGAAGAGAGGTTGGCACTTTCTGATAAAGCTAAAGATAGTTTTACCATATGACTCAGCAATTGTGCTCCAAGGTATTTACTGGGCTGATTTGAGAACTTATGTCCACACAAAAACTTGCACAATAAAGTTTATAGCAGCTTTATTCATAATTGCTGGAAGTAACTAAGATATCCATTGACAGGTGTATGACTAAACACACTGTAGTACAAACATATGATGGAATATTGTTCAATGCTAAGAATAAACGAACTATTAAAGTATGAAAAGTCATGGGTAGACCTTCAAATGAACACTGCTAAGTGAAAGAAGCAGCCTGAAAAGGTGATACACTGTATGATACAAATTATATGACATTCCAGAAAGGCAAACATTATGTCTGACAGGTTATCAAGGTCAAAATCAATAGTGATAAGTCATATTGATAGTATGTACTTATAATACCCTGGATATATATTATCTCTGTGATCTTTCTCTCAAAAACATATTACCTACTCTAATCATGAGCAAAACATTAGACAAACCCCAATTAAGAAACATTCTACCAAATACCTAATTAGTACTCCTCAAAACTGTAAAGGTCATCAAAACTAAGGGAAGTCTGAGACTATCTTAGCCAAGAGAAACATAAGGAGACATGACAACTAAATATAATATGGTGTCCCAGATCAGATCCTGGTACAGAAAAAGGACATTAGGGGAAAACGAAAGAAATCTGAGTAAGGTAGGGACTTTAGTTAATAATAATGTATCAATGTTGTTGCATTAATTGTAACAAATATGCCATGCTAATGTAAGATGTTAATAACAGAGGAAACTGGGTATGAGGAATGTAGTAACTCTGTAGTATCCTTACAAATTTTTGTGAATCTAAAAGTGTTCTAAAATACAAAGTTTATTTTAAAAACAATTGTATTTTCACATTCAAGCAATAGACAATCAGAAAATGAAATTTTAAATTCCATTTAAAACAGCATCAAAAAATAGGATATACTTAGGGAAAATATGACCCCAAAAAGCGTTAAGACTTGTACACTAAAAATAATAAGATTAACCTACGGGAAATTAAAGATCTGTGTTCATGAGTGGAAACACTTGATATTCTTTAGCTGTCATTTCCCCAATTTCAATCAAATTCCAAAGCAGGCTGTTTTTATATGTATGAAGTTAATTCTAAAATTAAAATGCAAAGTAACTACAATAGCCAAAGGAACTTTGAGAAAGAACAAAGTTGGAGGACTAGCATTATGTAATTTGAAGACTTAAAACAGAGTAATCAGGAGTGTGGTATTAGGCATCAAGATATATAAATATGTTCATCAAACAAAATAGACAACCAGGAAACAAACCTACACATATATGAACAACTGACTTTCTACAAAGGTGGAAAACAATTCCATGTGGAAAGGATAGTTTTTCAACTAAATATCCATATGCAAAAAAGTAAACTTTGATCTATATCTAGTACTATACACAAAAAGTAACTTGAAATGGATCACAGATCTAAATATAAGAACTAAAACTACAAAACTGCTAGAAGAAAACATGGGAGAAAATCTCAGTTACCTGAAGCTTAATGATTTCTTTAAAAGAACACACAAGCTGGATATGAATTTCTGAAAATCAATAAATTTCATTTAATCAGTATCAGGAACATATACTCCTTAAAAGACACTGTTAAGAAAATAAAAAGACAAGCCACAGACAGGAAGAAAATATATGCAAAACACATACCTGACAAAGGACTTATACCAAAAAAACCTTTCACGACTTACTTATGATATAAACAACTCGATAAAAGTGTGCCAAAGATTTGTACAGAAACTAAGGAAAATATATATATACTAGAGGCCTGGTGCACAAAAATTTGTGCACTGGGGGGAGGGGGGGTCGGTCCCTCAGCCCAGCCTGTGCCCTCTCACAGTCTGGGACCCCTCAGGGGATGTCCACCTGCTGGATTAGGTCTGCATCCCGGGAGATCGGGCCTAAGCTGGCAGTCAGACATCCCCCTGGCAGCCTGGGAGCCCTCGGGGGATGTCCACTTGCCAGCGTGGAGCAGGCAGGCCTAAGCTGCAGTTGGACACCCTTAGCACTGCTGAGAAGGTGGGAGAGGCTCCCACCACCACCACTGTGCTGGCAGCCATCAGTCTGGCCTGTGGCTGGGCAGAGCTCCCCCTGTGGGAGTGCACTGACTACCAGGGGGCATCTCCTACATTGAGCATCTGCCCCCTGGTGGTCAGTGTGTGTCATAGTGACCAGTCATTCTGCTGTTAGGGTCAATTTGCATATTACCCTTTTATTATATAGGATACACACACACACATATCCAATAAGTACATGAACAGATGCATGAATCATTAGTCATTAAGGAAAGCAAATGAACCATAATACATACCTATTAGAATAGCTAACATTGGATTTCACACACCAAGTGTTGGTGAGGATATAGAACAACCGGAACATTAATACACTGGTGGTGCAAAGGTAAAATAAAATAGTGCAACCACTTTGGGAAACAGTTTTCAGTTTCTTCTGAAGTTAAATATATATCCATCATGTGATTCACTCACTCTATCTACTCTTTGGTATTTATCCAAGAGAAATAAAAGTATTTGTCTATACAAAGACTCACAGAAGAACATTCATAACAGTTTTATTTGTGTATTCCCAAACAGCAAACAACCAAAATGTCTATGTGGTATACCCAAACAATGGAATACTAGTCTGTGATAAACAGAAATAAATTCTTGATTATATGTGACAACATGTATAAATCTCAGAATAATTATGGTGAGTGAAAGTAGCCTGGCAAAAGAAAATGTACTCTGTGATTTCACTTATATAACATTTTTAAAAATACAAACAAGTTCCTATGACAGACAGCAAGTCAGTTGTTGCCTAGGGATTATCAAGGTAGGGTGAGGTTATAGAAGGGTATGAGGAAACTTTTGGGAGCGCTGGTTAGGGCTACTATCCTGAATGTGGTGATCATTTTACAGGTACATACATATGTCAAAACTGACCAAACTTCAATATCATTAAAACAATTGTACACCAAAAATATCTCCAATTATAATCTATCTGTTAGAATATTTTAATAATCTACTAAAATGCTTTCAAAGAACTTCTAATGACCTGGGAAAATGCTTATGGTTTACGATTAAGTGAAGTGGCTCAAATATATAACTTAATATACAATGATGTCAATTACATTGAAAGGTTATATACACACATATAAAAATATTTCTGGTTAGAAACAGATGTATATTACTAAAAGTCTTCCCTGGATTATGGACTCATGGGTTATTTAAATTTTCTTTACACTTTTCTCTATTTCCCAAGGTTTTCTTTGTTGATGCTGTTTTATTTGATTTATCATTTTTTAAAATATGTTTTTATTGATTTTTAGAGGGAGAGAAAATGAGACGGATAGGAACATCGATGAGAGAGGTACAACATTGATTGGCTGCCTTCTGAATGCCCTCTACTGCGGATCAATTCTGTAACTGGGGCATGTTCACTGACTGGGAATCGAACCTGGGACATCTTGGTTTCTGGGTTGACATTCAATCACTGAGCCACACCGGCTGGGCTTGAAAATTATTTTTATTTTACCTGAGATTGCAAATGTCATTTTATGCAGGAAATTAAAGAAAAGGTGAAGGGAAGAATTTGAGTGATTATCTATCCTGACAACTGATTAGAATATAGGCATCACAGACCCAACATATTCTGGGTTGAAAGATCAAAGAGAAGACTCTGGGAGCTCATGCAAATCAAGTATTATCTGTAACTTAGCAATTTGTTTCAAACTCACATGAACTATTATGTTTTCAAATAGATCCCCTGAAATTCAACCTTACTGAATCTGTACAACCTCTATTTTTCAAATCAATAAGTACCAAAAGTAAAAACGAAAACAAAAAACCTCCTAGCATAGAGGTCCTCAAAAACTGATTCCCTTCTACTTACTGCCTGCAGGCTGCTTTACTGGAATGTCTTCTGCTACTGCACCTTATATAGGATGGGCTAAGCAGTGTGGTTCACATTCAGCTAATAAGTTCCATTACATGTTCCTATTTCTCTGCTATGGCTTTTTCTTATATTCTAAGCTGCTCTAAAACCTGTGCTGTGTGTGTGTTCTTACACTGTTCAGACCCCAGAACATAATTTGAGTTATAAAGGTAAATTAGTAATCAAATGCTAAAGTGAAACATACACTGTGCCCAGAATGGCTTTGTAAAAGCTGTTTTAGTTAAACATTCAGGTTTTCTCCATATGTAAGACAGAGATTACTAAATTTGAGTCCTGGTTAGGTGTGGCATTACCAATCTGCGCTTGATCTTGGGGAAGTCATTTAATGTGTGCCGAGGCTTCTACAACTGCTCCGTAACAATCCTCCCCAAAATTAAAGTCAACAAATAACTTAATTACCATTATAAAATATACTACAAAAAGCAGAGTCATTAATAATAAACCACTCGTTGTTCAAAAGCAGTTTAGTTTACCTCAAAGAATTATTCTCTGCTTTTTGCCTGCCAAGTTCACTTTCGGTATCCATTGCTTTTCTTGCTAATGATTTCATTTCTTTCTCCACAGTGGTTATGGTCTCCTTCATCAAAGTCATATTTGACATTTGCTCCATACGTTCATCATCAAGCTACACAAGTAGAATGGCAAGATTACTGCTCCCCTCTCTACTGCATTTTTTACTCATTATAAAAACATAGTACAGATGAATTTATAAATGCATACAATTAAATTTGGTAACAGAAGGTCAAATTCCATTAATTCTGTTTATATAGTCATAATATCTCAAATATAGCATCTCAAATCCTTCATTAATAAAAAAGGTGATGCCACAGATTTAAATTCAGTTTACATATATTTTTCTCATTAGTTTTCATTTCTCTATCATTTTCTCTACTCTAGCTACTCTTTAGGTAGAATAATCCAGTTTCCCTGTATCTGGAAATGTTCTCTTTAATGAAATACAGAGATGAAAATTGTGGTAAAATCCCTGAGAACGCATCCCTAATGTTTTTTTTTAAAGCCATTTTGCAACCTAACATGAAAAATATACTCACATTTTTAAAAAGAATAAACAGTTTATAACATATATATATCTCATCTTCAGTATTTTAGGATTAGAAACCCTATCATAGAAAAATAAAAGAACTTCTCTGGACATAGTAAAAAAGGAAAAGGAAAGTCACTGACAGTTTACAGCCAAAAGTGCAAAAGTAACTTTTCTTTACATTATGAACTGTACACTCCAGCTCCTCTATCCTCTGTTCCAAGTGAGCTTTCTCATTAAACGCTGTCTCTTGAGCAATCTGGTTAAAAAAACAAAAACAAAACAAAGCACTTTCAATGTCACTGTGTCGTGTTTCACAAATGTTCACATAGATAAAATTCTCTCAAACCTTTAGCCTTTCCCTCAGACTATCTCGTTCTGTGGTCATTCTTCGTAAATCAGTGAAGGCTACATCTCGTTCAGTCTCCACCCGCCGGAGGATGGCATGTGCAGTTGTTGATTTAGGAGACTTACAGCTTTTCATCATTTCTCGGCGAAGCCGGGCAATTTCTTCCTGCGCCTATTATTTAAATACACAGACAGACTCCTGTTTAGAACAGACACAAATACAGCTTTATATACAGTTGTTGAAATCCAAACCTATTACCAACAGACATGGAGTAGGATAATGTTATAATTTTGACTATCCAAATAAATGCAAATGATGCCCCCAAAATGCAAATGCTGTATACAAACAGAATTTTGCTTTCCAAGACCTTTGCCAAAAAATTTTAAGAAATTAATCTGGGGTCACTCAATGCAAGAGAAATAGTTAGTAAGTAATATATATGTGGTATACACCATCCATTTTGTGATATAAACATGAATTCAGCATATATTACAGAATTCAGGTAAAATACTGGTTTAATAAATATTATCATAGTGTTACAGTCTTTCTCTACATAAATGTATATGCCATAGTCATGAACTAGATACCTTTACCTTGACAGAAAAGCCCACTAATCTTTAATGACAACCCAACATACTCTCTACATGCTGTTCAACCATCCTTGGTTCTAAATCTCTTCCATGCCTTCAGATAATTTCATCTCCTACTTTGGGGCTTAAGCACATATCTTCCTTCCTCTCTATTGTAATCACTACCTACTCAACTAGTCTCCAAGTCTCAGAGGAAAATATGTTAATTCCCAATTTCCAGAGCTAAGCCTTCACCAGAATCCTGGACCTCATCTCCTGAAGTGTCTTCTAAGATATCCCTGACTCAGCTATAATCCTTTCCTCTCACTTCGAGTAGCACTCTCTGCACTGGCTCTTTCTCCCCTGCCTTCAACCAAGCACATGTCTCCCATATCTTGAAAACCTGGCACTTAATCCTGTTGTCCCATTTACCTACCTATGACTCTCCCTTTCTCTCCTTTGTTTTAGTGTCTGTACCATGGCCTGTTCCTTACTACCCACTTTCTCACCCCACTGTAACCTGGCTTCCACACCCACTATTTGCAGAATTTCAACTAATGACCTCACCAAATCTAATGGCCTTTTCTTGGTTTTTGTTTTTGATACTTTGGCAACATTTGACATTGTTTTGAACTCCCTTCTTGATATAATTCCCTCCCTTGGTCTTTTAACATTGTTCTGCCTTAGCTTCCTGTCTTCTTTCTCTCTTTCTAATCCAATAAAACTTCCCAAGATGCTCTGGAGATAGCTCTCTCATTCAGAGACCTCACCCACTCTGAAGGCCCAAAGCTCACCTCTAGGGAGATGACTTCTAAATTGAAATATTCACCTCTTGCTTTTCTCCCTATTCCCATCCTACATTTCTTGTTGCTTGATGGCGATTCCTACCTGAATGTACTCCATCTGTCTGAACCAAGCACATCTTTTGCATCATATCACCAGTGACTTCCCTATTTCTTTTTCTATTACCACATTTCTTCAGTCATTCAAAACAGAACTTCAGACATTTCCATTCCTCCCTCTATTTGGCTCCAATCAAATCTTATCAAGTCTTCCTTGGCAGCATCCTAGCCCAGTCCATAAATGCCTCATGCATGGACCACTACAACAGCCTTCTAAAGAGTCCATGGTTTCTCCCTCCTCTAGTTCTCTTGAAGGAGAAATCTACATATATAAAAGGCTAATATGCTAAGTGTCCCTCCCTCCATCTGATTGATCACTATGATGCACACTGACCACCAGGAGGCAGACACTCAATGCAGGAGCTGCAAAGCTGCAATGACTTGGCCGTGGCAGTTCTTGGGTGATGCACCCCAAACCAGAGAGGAGAGAGCCTGATTCCTCTCAGGGTCACATGATTCCACCTTCAGCCATGGGTTATGATGTTGCTGGGGCACTGGTTTACGGCACCCTTGTGTTTGCGTTACACAATCTGTACAACAGCAACTTTGCAGAGTGCCCTCTCATACTCCAAGACTCTCAGGGGAATGTCGGAGAGCCAGTTTCGGCCTAATCCCTGCAGGCCAGGCTGAGGGACCGCCCACTGCCGGAGGGACCCCACTCATTCAGCAGACGCTGGGGAGCAACCATAAGGGGTTGACTCCAGGGCATATCCAGCCCATCTCACCCAGTCCCACCCCACCAGCCACCTTCTAATTAATTTCCAATGTGCACAAATTCATTCATCGGGTCACTAGTTGTTATATAAAAAGGTAACATATAAAGATTGTGTTTGAGATAAAGAAGATAATATAAAATTCTTACCAGATTAAAAATGTAAAAATGAGGCTTTAGTTACATTTCTTCTGCTTTAAAAAAAATAAGCTGTCCATTGCTTATAAAACTAAGTATAAACTACTTGTAATGCCCTTGAACAGGCTCCACCATATAGTCCAGAAGCTAGTAAACTACACCAAATCTCACAGGCCAAATCCAGCAAGTCTCCCGTGTTTTGTAAGTTTATAAGCTGATATTAATATTACATATTTAAATAGTTGAAATAATCAAAAGAAGAAAAGCATTTCATAACAGGTAAAATAATATGAAAGTCAAATTTCAGTGTCCATAAATAAAGTTATATTGCAACAGAGCAAACATATTCATTTGTATATCATGTGTGGATGCTTTTGTACCACAAAAACAGAGCTGAATAGCTATGACTGAGATCATGGCCTGCAGAGCCCAAGATATTTATTACCTGGACCTTCACAGAAACGTTTGCAGACTGCTGCTCTGGTTCAATCTACCTCACAAGTGTCAGCTCCCCCGTCCTCCACTGTCACATACCTTTGATGCTAGTCTTTGACTGAATCACTTTCCTGTGATTTCCCTGCCTTTATCATGTGCCTCACATCATTTCTTTAATCTAAATGTTCCTTCTTATCCCTTTCAAGATAATAGAAACCCCATTCGTACATCCCTCAGCACTCAAACTCTACATAGTCTAGTGAAGATTTCCTTGATCACCATAAAGAAAGATACCCACTTATTTTATTTTTCAATATCTTTAAACTACTTATGCTATGCTAAACTAACAAAAAATAGCCACCAAATACAACGATATACCTTATCTCCCCAATAAGACTGCCAACAAAGAAAACAGTGTCTGAATGTTTTCAGACTGTACTTCCTGGGTTAATGAGGCAGTGCAGTAGCTCACACTAGCTTCTTATGAACTAACTAGAGGCCCAGTGCATGAAATTCATGAACAGGAAAGGGGGTCCCTTAGCCCGGCCTGCACCCTGTCCAATCCGGGATCCCTCTCGCAATTTGGACTGCTGGCACCTAACCGCTCACCTGCCTGCCTGCCTGTCTGCCTGATCACCCCTAACCACCTCTGCCTCAACTGCCTGTCTGCCTGATCGCCCCTAACCACTGCTCTCCCCAGCCGGCCTGAGATCCCCCCTACCCGCTCTCCCCTGCCAGCCTGATTGCCCCTACCTGCCTGCCCGCCTGCCTGATCACCCCTAACCGTCTCTGCCTGCCTGATTGTCCCTATCTGCCTCTGCCCCCTTGCCTAATTACCCCTAACCACCTCTGCCTCAACTGCCTGTCTGCCTGATCGCCCCTAACCACTGCTCTCCCCAGCCGGCCTGAGATCACCCCTAACCGCTCTCCCCTGCCAGCCTGATTGCCCCTACCTGCTCTGCCCTGCCTGTCTGCCTGATCGCCCCTAACCACTGCTCTCCCCAGCCGGCCTGAGATCACCCCTAACCGCTCTCCCCTGCCAGCCTGATTGCCCCTACCTGCTCTGCCCGCCTGCCTGATCACCCCTAACCACCTCTGCCTAGGCCCCCATCACTGTGGCTTTGTCCAGAAGACGTCTGGTCTATCCAGTCTAATTAGCATATTACCCTTTTATTAGTATAGATTTACACTTCAAATCTCAATATAAAATTGTTTATGCCCAGCCAGCCTGGCTCAGTGGTTGATTGTTGACCTATGAACCAGGAGATCATGGTTCAATTTCCGGTCAGAGCACATGTCCATTTTGGTGGCTCAATCCCCAGCGTGGGTTGTGCAGGAGACAGCTGATCAATGATTCTCTCTCATCATTGATGTTTCTATCTCTCTAATCCTCTCCCTTTCTCTCCGAAATCAACAAAAATATATTTAAAATAAAATAAAATTGTCTGAAAAGAAGGAATATAGCAAAAATTTGAGGATCACTAACAAAGTATACTTATGCAAGTATAGGATTTTCTATCCAGAGGTTTCAGTAAAATCTCACATCTTACACTCATACGCACAGAGTTCTCATTAAAGGACTCTCCTGCCCCTTAGCGGTTCTGACCCTTTAATCATGTGTACATACATTGTTTCATGGTACAGACACAGACACCAGAGAATTCTAATCAAAGCCAAGTAAT